CTGATATGCGAGCCACCGCGGCCCCTCCCTCAATCCGGTGAAAACGCGGCATTTCATAATTGCCACCGTGCAACGCGTTTTAGACCTAACCCAGACCTAACCCAGACCTAACCCAGACCTAACCCAGACCTAACCCAGACTAACCCAGACCTTTTGTACGTGGGGAAATCCTCATGGACACCCCGAGGCCCTAAGTAGGGGGGGCCTCGGGGTAGTGCCGGACTCTTACCGGCTAAAACCCCACGGTGACCGTCCTCCGGCGCTGCGGCGAGGGACCGGGAACTCTAGTGAGACATCACAGAGTCCCCCGCCGCGCCTTGCCTGTCGAGGCTCATCCCGGGGGGAAGGACGACATGTCCTTCCCCCCCTGATTTCTCCGCCACGGACGCCAGGTCACCCGACGCCCGCAGCCCCGGGGCTGCCTTCGGTGCTCGGGCCCCTTGCACCGAGCACCTGCAACCCCCAGGGGCGGCCTGCCAATCTCCTGACCACCGACGTGGTGGTCGGAGGAGAGTGCTGGCGGGCCGCCCCAAGACCTAACCCAGACCTAACCCAGACCTAACCCAGACCTAACCCAGACCTAACCCAGACCTTTTGTACGTGGGGAAATCCTCATGGACACCCCGAGGCCCTATGTAGGGGGGGCCTCGGGGTAGTGCCGGACTCTTACCGGCTAAAACCCCACGGTGACCGTCCTCCGGCGCTGCGGCGAGGGACCGGGAACTCTAGTGAGGCATCACAGAGTCCCCCGCCGCGCCTTGCCTGTCGAGGCTCATCCCGGGGGGAAGGACGACATGTCCTTCCCCCCCCCTGATTTCTCCGCCACGGACGCCAGGTCACCCGACGCCCGCAGCCCCGGGGCTGCCTTCGGTGCTCGGGCCCCTTGCACCGAGCACCTGCAACCCCCAGGGGCGGCCTGCCAATCTCCTGACCACCGACGTGGTGGTCGGAGGAGAGTGCTGGCGGGCCGCCCCACTTCTGGAGGTCCCACTAGACCTCAAGGGCGTCGGAGGGGGCCAGGAGGCGAAGGATGCCTCGCTCTGGCCCCTCTCCGAGCCCTCCCTCTCCGAGCGGGATGCGCGGTCCGCTCGCGCTCCCGCTCGGCGGCCTCCTTCTGTGACATAACCACTTCACAGAAGGAGGCCACCACTTGCCAGGTTTTCTCGCTGGCCACCATCTTTCCCACTATGGTAGCCAGCGAGAGATTTCTTCCCACATCTTGAACCAGAACACGGCGCTCATCTACCCACGCTGGGCAGACTTCCAGCGTGTGCTGCGCCGTGTCCTGGGGTCCTCCACAATGGTGGCACACCGCCGTCGCCTCCTTCCCGATTCGACACAGGTACTCACCAAAGCAACCATGCCCGGTGAGTACCTGTGTCATCCTGTAGGACAGCCTAGCCGGTTTGTCCTGCCACTCTTGCCAATGTGGCAGGACTGCACCAACGGACCGTTGCGTGGCTCCAGCCGGAATCATTTGCTGGAACCACATAAATACAACGGTCCGTTGGGCATGGCGCCTCGTCTCCTCGACCGCTTGCCTCCTATCCTCTGGCGGTCTCCCAGCCTCCTGGAGCTCCCTGGAGTGACGGTACACTTGTCGGTTTCTCCAAGCGAGGAGCTCCAGGGGCGGAAGACACGCCAGTGTAGTCGCCGCCTCGTGGGAGATGGTGCGATACCCTCTAATCACCCGGATGGCCAGCCGACGGTTGACGCGGCGCAGCATCTCCGTACTGCGCCGGCTAGCATCCAGGTCTGGGGCCCATACTGGGGCCCCGTAGAGGGCAATTGACCGCACCACCTCCACGTAGAGGCGGCGGACTCCAACATCGGGCCCCCCGATATTCGGGAGAAGGCGGCCTAGTGCAGCAGCCGCCTTCTCCACCCGGGGGGCCAAGCGGTCGAAATGGTCGACGAAGCGCCACCGGCTGTCGAGGATCAGGCCCAGGTACTTCATCTGGGCCTTCACCTCGACGTAGGCTGTCCCAACTTTGATCCGCAGGCCGGCCGGTGGCACCCCGCGGGGGCCACGTCTTTGAAAGAACATGACCTCCGTTTTCTGGGGTGCCACCTCTAGACCCAGCCTGCGGACTTCGGCGACGACGGTAGCCACCGCTACCTCCGCGGCACGGGCTGTTCCTCTCCAGTCTGTCCCGCTGACGAGCACCAGCGTGTCATCGGCATAACACGCCAGCGCAACGCCAGCGGGCAGAGGCGCCCGCAGTACCGAGTCGTACCCGATGTTCCATAGCAGGGGTCCTAGAACCGACCCCTGCGGAACACCGCGTACGACCCCTCTCCGCATGATTACTCCCTCCCGGCCGGTGCAACTAATCCACCTGTCGCTAAGGTAGGACCCGACTATCCTCTTCAGGTATGGGGGCACACGATGATACTCTAGTGCCCCCATAATCACCTCCCAGGGCAGGGTGTTAAAGGCATTGACGATATCTAAAGATATCGCCAGAACCACCCTACGCTGGGAGGTGGCCCCCTGAGAGAGGGAACGGACCAACTCGATGGCATCGAGCGTGGACCGTCCCTCTCTAAAGCCGAATTGGCAGGGGGCCAAGTCGGGTCCCACCGTGGACAGGTGGTTGGTGAGGCGGGCAGCCACAATGCGTTCAAAGAACTTGCCCGCCTCATCTAACAAACACACCGGCCGGTACGCGGAGGGTGTACCTGCGGGCCTTCCCGCCTTCTGGAGAAGGACCAGCCGCGCCGCCTTCCAGGGCGAGGGGAATACCCCTCGGCGGAGGCAACTGCTGAGCAGCCTCCCGAACCGCGTACTTAAGACGCCAAGGGCACGGGCCAAAACCTGGCCGGGCACGCCGTCAGGACCCGGAGCCACGCTCCGAGCACTCATCCGACGCACGGCCCGGCCCATCTCCTCGGGTGTGACCTCCAGCTCCTGGGACCAGATGGTAGGGTCCCAGGGTTCTCGAGGAGGTGGTACCCCGTCCCGGTTAGCACCCGGGAACAAGGTTGATACCACCTCCTCTAGAAATTGGAGGTCGAGGGACTCCGTCAGAGGGGGCGCCCATGGACGAAGCTTGTCCATTACAAGCTTGTACGGACGCCCCCACGGATCCCTATTGAGCTCCCCGAGGAGGTCCATCCATGCCCGTGCCTTAGCGTCTCGGATGGCGCGCTGGAGGGTCCGCCGCTCTATGGCGAACTCCTCGTAAATGCGCGCCATCTGCTCCGCGGTCGGTAGTCGACGTCGTGATCTTCGGGCGCGGGTGTATATTCGGCGGGCGCGCGCACACCGAGCGTTGCACTGCTCGATGTGCGGCGACCACCAATAAGCCGCGCCCTTGCTCCTGGGGGGCCTGGCCCGGGGCATGGAGGCATCACACACCTCCTTGCACTTGCCCCGGAACCACTCGGCCTCCCTCTCAACGTCGTCGACCGGTCCATGCTCAGGTTCGGACCAGGCTGCCACCGTCGCGGCTGCCTCCGCCATCGCCCACTCCACCCTCTTCAGGGACCATCGCGGGGGGGCTGCAGCATCTGCCGCACGCCTCCGGCCCAGGGGCTCCCTACGCGCCGGTGTGGCTCTCACCGTCATGGTGATGTAGAGGTGGTCACTGAGTGTGGCCACCTCTACGGCCACTCGCCACCCCGACACGAGTCGCAGGGCCGCAGGGGTTGCCCACGTCAAATCAATGATGGACGTTCCCTGCGGCCCCACGAACGTAGCTTCTGAGCCCCGATTCACCAGCCGGAGGTCGTGCTCGGCCGCCCAACCTAGTAGCGCCTCGCCACGGCGGTTGGTCCTGGGGCTGCCCCACGCAGCCGCATGGGCATTAAAGTCCCCCAGGACCAGTACCGGACGGGGTAGGCATCCTCTAATACAATCGCCCACCCCGTTCAGGTACTCCGCATATGCGACGAGGTCGCAGTTGGGCGACACGTAGCAGCCCACAACCGCGATGGTCCCCCATTGGACCACCAGAAACCCCCTCCCCCGATGCAGGATAGTAACGGGAGGGGAGTCTGGAGGCCACGCCCAGGCCATCGCCACCAAACCGCACAGGCTCCCGATCCAATTGGGCTGATCGGGAATCATGTACGGCTCTGCGGCGATGGGCCCGCAGGGTGAGAACGAGCATGTCCTGAGCCCTAGAACTAACCAGACCTTTGTACGTGGGGAAATCCTCATGGACACCCGCGGGCCCACCCGATGGGCGGGCCGGCGGGTAGTGCCGGACTCTTACCGGGTAAAACCCCACGGTGACCATCCTCAGGCGCTTGGCGAGGGACCGGGAACTCTAGTGAGACATCACAGAGTCCCTCGCCGCGCCGTGCCTTTTCAGGCCCTTCCCGGTGAGAGGCACTCCTCCCACCGCATTTCCACTCAACCGCAGGCGCCTGGTCACCAGCGCCCGCGGCCCCGTGACATGGGACTAAGCCGCCGGCCGCGGGGCCATGTTGTCCGCAGGACACACCCGCAGCCAACAGGCCAACCTGCGGCCTTAGGTTTAACCCGCGGCAAATACCCCATGCCCCAGTCCACACACACACACACATTCACACGCGCAACACATCCATACCGGTGTTTGGTCCGCGGAAGCTATCGCTCCGACCTCCGGGATGCCATGCGAGGATGCAGCCACCAGCCTTCTCAGGTTGATGACCCCATCCCCGCATCCCATCCCAGCGGCTGCCCCTATCCGCCACCTGGGGACGCGCCACGTAGGGGTTCACCTCCCCTGCCGCCTGGACAACCAAACGGGTGCGTGGAGACCTAACCCAGACCTAACCCAGACCTAACCCAGACCTTTTATACCGAAGGAGAACCTTGCATAGGCACCCCTACCCCAGAAGGGGGTAGGGGGTAGTGTGAGATTCTTACTCACTAAACTCCTCCGGTGTTTCTCGCCTTGTTTGCACCATACAGGTCTCCTATTGTTGGGCGGGACCGCCGTCAGCATTTCTTCGCCCAGCCCGTAGGAGACGTGAAGTTGCGCCTCGAAGAGCTTGCCCATTTATGGAGGCTAGGTTGTCGGTGTAGCCATCCTAGCTGCTTTGTCCAGCTCCCGCTCATTCTCCTCCTTCATTTTCAGGATATTCATTATGCACGTCTTTATAACGTTCCACGTCGGCAGGTCCCTTATCATCACAGCACCCAAATATTCAATAGTTATTGTATTTAAACCGGTATTTAATTCCTCACAAAGTTTTCCGTTTGTTCTCAGCCCATTTCTGGCATTGTATGAACGTGTGCTCAGCGTCATCAATCTCATTGCAGCCGTACCAGCATAAATCGGAGGTCGCCTTCCCGATGTGTTTTCTGTACTCATTAAAACAACCGTGCCCTGTGAACGCTTGGGACATATGATACGTGAGCTGACCATGTGTAGCCTTGATCCATTTTGTAATATCTGGTATCCACTTATGAGAAATATTTCCTCTACGGTTTACATCCCCACTTCGCTGCCACTCAGCCATGATTTGCGAACGAATACGAGTTTTTTCGCTATTCACATCCGGAATTCTGAGGTCGTGACCCGCTAAACGAGCTCTTCTTATTCTTGTCTCAATGTCGAAAATTTCTTTTCTTTCCTTTACTTTTAGTAAGATAGGTAGGACTCCAGCCAATACCGGTAAAACTTCTCTAGCTACTGTTCGATAGGTCTTTACAACTCTGCCGAGGCCCAAACATGTGCATTTTGTAGTCTATTTCTATTAGCTTCTAATGTCCAGTGCTGATGCCCAAATAGGGGCCGCATATAATAAAATCGACTCCATCACATAATAGTAAGTGGAGACCAGTTTTATATCCGGGACCCCCAACGTTAGGGGTAATGCGGGCCAAAGCTGACATAACCCGGACAGCTTTTTTACAAATATATTCTATATGAACTCTAAACTTATGACTTCTATCATAGTGGAGTCCTAAATATTTTAATTCCGTTGATATTTTTAACTTAGTATTAAGTATTCGTATGCTCATACGACCGAGCCGCTTATTGTTTAAAGTAATAGCTGCAGTCTTTTCAGGGGCCAAGGTAAGTGGTTTAGCGTTAACCATTTTAAAATATTATTTATTGTACTATTTATTTTTTCCTTTAGAAGTGTCTTATTTCCGTCTCGCGCCAGTAACGCGATGTCGTCAGCAAACGCGACAAGTCTACATCCGTTTTTCATCGGGATTCTCAGCAACCCATCGTATGTTATGTTCCATAGGGTGGGGCCCAAAACCGAGCCTTGGGGAACACCCATTTCCATTTTTACCTGATGCCACATACCCTCGACCTGGTAACTAATAGTCCGATCGCATAAATAGTCATCAATAAGGGCAAGGAGGTAATTTGAAAGACCCATGCCCCTAGCAGCATTTTTAATATTCTTCCACCGTAGTGAATTAAATGCGTTTCTGACGTCAAATGTATCAGTAGGACTATACTCTTGTTTAATTTTCGCGACCCGCTTGAAATTCTTCAACCAATTTCAGTGCCTGAATCGTACTTCGGCCGGTACGAAAGCCATATTGGTGTTCAGACAGGCCCTCTGGACCAATTTCCAGTATAATTCTGGCATTTATAACAGATTCAAGAATCTTTACCCAATTGCTGGTCAGGCACAACGGACGGTAGGCAGAGGGAGACGAAGGGTCCTTTCCAGTTTTGGCGATCAGGACCAGTCTGCTATTCTTCCATACACGTGGGATTTTCCCCCTAATAAAAATACCATTGAAAAGGTTTACAACTAACTTTGTTTCTTTTTCCAGGACAGTTTTGACAGCGCATCCTGGAATCATATCGATGCCGGGAGCTTTATCGAGACTGACCCTGGACGCTGCCCTACGCAGCTCAATCGGATCCAAAGGGATGAAATCAACATGAAAAGGTCTTTGGACATGCTGCGGGTAAGTATCCATCGCATTTTGGTTGTCTTCCCTAGGAAACAGCGCCGTTACCACTTGGTAGGTCTTTTCAATAGTGAGATGTGGGGGGTCGCATTTAGGTTTCACTGTTTCATAATAGTTTGTACGCGGCACCCCATATATCTCTATCCACCGTATTACAAAGTTCAGACCAAGCCCTAATCTTGTGTTTTATGAGTGCACCTTTTAGTTTTTTCCTGGCTATTTTATATTCATTTTCGGCTACCGGAGCATTTAAAACGTCCCTTTTTTAGAGCCCTTTGATATACGCGCCTTTTCGAGTTTGCCTCCCTCGCAGGTTAGTAAGTACCGGTGACCACCATTTTTTGCACGTCTTATTAACTGGACACTGCCTGCGGGGTGTCATGCTTGCTGAACATGCATTTTGCAAAGCATCGATAACCTCGTCTGTCTCGCTATGAGACAGCGGGATATCTATATTAATGTGTCTCGTATTATTTTTTAGAAATTCTAGGTATATATCGCGATCCAAAGAGTCAATCTTCCACCCAGGAGCGGAAACGGATTGTCCCCGAGGGAGGACATCGCTATCCAGTGAATAACATATTGATGGTCCGAAGCCGAGTATTCTTGCAGTATCTGACTTTTGCTGATCCTCGTAAGTGTCCTTTGATCACAGGCCATAACGTCTATTAGAGATGTTCTCCCTCCACGTTGAAATGTGAATTTACCTTTAGGTCGGGTGGGAATGAGGCCCATCCTATCAAAGGCTCCAGTCAGTACTAGGCCCTTTTTATCTAGGAACTTTGATCCCCAGGTCGGCGACTTGGCATTAAAATCTCCCGCCACCAACATTGCAGACCCCCATGTTCTTTTAGCGTATTCTAGCTCCATTAGTTCAACTTCTAGCTCCGTATCTTTTAACCTCGGTGAGTAATAACAGCTGCAGTGATAAGTGCCACCGACCGCAACGGCAGCAAAGCCACGGCCGACATATGTCTTGTCTTTAAATGCCTTCCTACCGTTGAGACCGGTGACCCATAACGCCGCTTTGCGAGTCGTATCCGAAATCCAATTTTCTTTTATTACATAAGGCTCCGATATAAATACAATATCTATTTCCAGGTCCTCCACTATTTTAATTAACAAATCATGTGCTAATCGACAGTGATTTAGATTGATTTGCAATTGTTAGAGCACTCAGGGGCTCTAACTTGGTGGTTCCGGACGAGGGAGAAGATAGGGTAGAGAGAATTGGTACAAGTTTTCAAATATCGTTTTTATTACAAAAAATATAAACCAAAATTACAAAATTACAAAAAACCTAAACGAATAAAGAAATTAATAGGGACGACGGCTCAGACCCTTCGGCCGCGTCTCCTCTTTCCTTTCCTTCTAAGGTCTTCTGTAACAAAAATTATACAAGAAGTATAATTATTTTGCGGACAAGTCACCGATTACGCGCTCGTCAGCTGCTTTTCTCGCGCTCCAGCGACAGTCTGGTGTGCTTGGAGGGGAGAGCTAACTGGCAATTCAGCGCAATAGCTAGTGGACTGTATTATTTTGCTTTGGTCGGTGATAGTCGTTTTTTTACGATATCACCGACGCGCACAACCGGGTAGACGAGGTTTTCCTCTGATCTACCGGGTTCGCTTCGCAATGCCACGGACGGGAAACCAAATGGAGGTTGTAAGGCTCCAAATGGCTATATCCCGCGAGCACGCTCACCGTGCGGGTGACGTTTGAACGCCACCCACGCAAGAGGACGTCTCGTCCAGGTACGGGTACCTCGTCGGCGGCTCCTCAGGAACGGCCTGCGGCCAACCCACGCAGCTGCCTAGACAGCGATTCCTTTCCTTGAAAGAATCGCCCGGCAGCCTGTCGTGGCCCCTCGTCGGCGGTTCCCTTCACGAGGAGCTGGCCTGCGGCTCGCCGAATTAGGACGACGTCCTTTGCAATTCCTAACCACCCTACGGTCACAGCCCAGTGTGGTCGACTCACATCTGGTAGTGGGTGTAGCGGTGGAAGGCCGATGCTTCGAACCCCTGTGCTCCAGTGGTCGCTTATGCTCAACCTTGTCACCTCACGACTGGTTCACTGGAGCGGGTTCTCTAAAGCCGGTGCACGGTGAGCACCGCGAAGTGATACCAATATCTGGGTATCCAACTTCCGGTTGCTCCTACGCCGTATAGCTCACACGGGTCGATGAAACCACAACTCCACCGGTCGGTGCACTCTATGTGGTACACCTAACGGGCGATTCGAGTGGGTTCCTCGATCCCTTCGAACGGCGAACCACCACCAGGAGATAACCAGTATGTCGGTATCTCCGTTACAGTGGCTCAAACCGTATTCAATAGGAAGAGACTCAAAGTGATTAACACCGAATCCCTAACGTCGCAGTCGCGGCAACGAACTGCAACGTTCAATCACAATCCTGCGTCTACGATCGTGTCACGCGCGGCGTGTACTGCGATCGCTGCAACGACAGGCAGATTGTCCTTTTATTCGAGAAAATCTCAAGTCGCTATGACGAGATTTTCCTGAATAAATCAATGTCCGCAAACTTGATCCGATTACGAGGAGAGAGATCGTCTCATTCTCCTCGGAGCTTCGTACGAAAATGGGAGAGATCGTCACAGGATCTGCTCCTGATCGCCGACGGCTCACGAATGATCCGTAACGATCTGCAAGCATCGACGGCCACGGCTGGGCTCCGTCGCGCAAGCGCAGTCGCGTAGCGACGCATCGCGCTGCTGGGCCCGGGCGGCTACGCGCCGCATAGCCACGACGCGGCGCTGCCGCGTCTCGGCTGTCGATCTCGATTCGATAAATCGATTCTTCTCTCTCTCTCTCGGCGCTAACAACACGATTTCTGGAATTTATTCTCCGAATCCAGAATTCCAGTGAAGCTGGCTAGCAAAAACACGTAAATGGCAGCGGTATACTAATCTGACGAAGAAAAATTTCTCCGTCAGCAGAACCTTCCAGAATTACGCGAATTCATGATAAATACGGGCATCGCGGCCGAGTTTTTACGTCTCGGACTCACACGATATTTAAACAGCAATACAGTATTGTCTCTATAGAAGCGACGCTCTCGGGGCTCAACGCTCGGCTATATCGTGGACGAGAAACGATTCTTGATACTTTGTTGACGCCTACTGGAGGCGGCGAGTATAGAAAAGAACAGCGAGCATATGACAAAGAGGGACTGAGCGGCCGAGCATCGCCGAAT